TGGACAGAGCAGTTCATTAAACAGACAACTAAAACTAAAATAAAAAAAAGTATGTTTTAAGAAGACCTTGGATTGATAATAGCCATGAGAGGATAAAGCTTCTGAGAAGTTAAGCCATAAGTATCCACATTCTCTTCTTCGCCGTCTCTAAGCTTCCATTCAAATTCTTGTACTAATCTCCCAATGGCAATGCCTGCCATTAGAGATGCTTGAAGTGCACCAGCACAAACCCTCTTTCCCGCTCCGAACGCCATTGTCTTGTGAAGATCCGACGATTCGTATTGTCCGTCCACAAACCGCTCTGGCCACCACTCCTCTGCTCTCTCCCAACGCTTCTTATCCATGTTGCATCCATAGATGTTTATGACTACCTACACATCAAGATTTCAGACTAGACTCTTATTTGGTTGAACTTCAAATGTGAAATACTCTGTTTTGAGCACGTGGTTTTCGGTTTTTTGTACAGAGGTGGACAAACAAGAATACGAGTCAGGATCTTGCGGGAACGGACGGAATGAGTATGATAAAGGACGATTATTCTACCTCACTTCCTGCAGGGATATGATAGCCTCCGATTTGGGTATCTTCATGGGCATAGCGAATGGGAACTAGAGGAGCCGGACTGTATTTCCTAAGCGTTTCATGAAAGACTCCATTGACATAAGGAAGTCGAGGTAAATGTTCTTCTTTGATCTTTTCTCCTCCGCAGACACTTTGGATTTCGTTATACAGACGATCTTGGACACTTTGATGCTTTGCAAGTTCATAAATCGCCCATTCAGTTGTGACCAAAGTAGTGTCAGCTGTCTCGATAATCGTCTCCCAAACCAAGGTTGCAATTTGCTCCTTGGTTAGTGTTTTCGCTTCCGACATCAAGAAGTTGAGATAGCAATCATCATCCTGTTTCCAAGTAGAGATCAGGTCAGAGGAGTAAGGCAACAAAACAAAGACAATTGAACAAAACATACAGATTCTGAATCATTCTGCTTCAGTCGATCTTGAATCAGAGCATTCATCACTGCGAGTCTACGTTTATGCTTTTGCTGGATTCTTGCTTCAAAACTTTTATTCGGAATCCATTTCAAGTATGGGAAGAAGTCTCTCCAATCAACATCAATTGCACCTTCCATCATGTCATGTACTAAAACCTTGAAGATCTCATCTCTCGACAAAGTCACACCGAGTTCCTTGACGTAAATGGATTCTACATCTTTCCCAAAGGCCTACGGAAAAGAAAAACCATTTTCAAATTTTCTCTTGACGAACAAATAATAGAAATGTGTGTTTCCTGAAGTATAAGGTAGACAAATAAAACTCACTTGCTTCAAGGCTACTCCAAAAAGCTCATGCTCGAATATAGCCCTGAAGTTTACAGGCTCTTGCGGATGGTCCCTCGTGTGGGCATGCAACTTGGAGGATACATTTTCAATGAGTGCATCTCTGTAGTGTCTTTTTCGTTTCTGAAAATCAAATCCACACAACACAAAAATTGATTTCAGTTTACCACAAAGTATATCGAGAAGAAGCTGTGAACTCACCTGTGCATTTGCACCCAAAAGTCCATTCAAGAGACACCGTTTAACGAGTTTATGAAAATCATCATAATCACTTGTAGCAACCATAGATTTGTTGCAAGTGAGGACTGTCAATGCATTTGATAGCTTTCTTGTAGAGATGGATGGAAACCGAGTTACCATGGCCTGAAAAACACCTTATCATTCCATTATACAACTCCGATTTCGCCATCAGCAAATCAGTTCAGATACGTATCACATAAATAAGAGCAAGCTCATGTGTAAAGCTAAGAGATCTCTTCAACAAAACTTCAAGATACATTAGGTTCCTTCTTAGAGTTTGGTCATATGTATTCTTGACAGTATTAAAGTAAGGATTTTGTTACATATCATCAAGAATCAGGTTCCAAACCAATCAATCAGCCAACCATTGAATTCAAAAATCCATAATTTCTTGTACATTACTTGCATTAACTGAAACAATCACACAAGACACAAATGGATCAAACTAGAAAGCTAACCTCTTTGGCTGTGTCGGTTGAATTGAGGACAATAAGAGATGAAGAACCCATCTTGATAGAGTAAATTGGACCATAAAGCTCTGACCATTTAGTGAAAGTCTTGTGAGGTTTCTTCTCTTTTAGTTGCAGTAAGTTCCCAATCAACGGAAACCCTGGAACCACTGCATCAAAAATCAAACTTCAGAGTTCTCAAAGATCCAATTTTTAGTTCCCTAAACCATGAAACAACCAAACCAAATCCAGATACTCAACAAACCAGAGACCAAACAAGTGTATTACTAGATAACCTCAAAGGAAACTCAAGAACAAGGCAAAAATCACAAAACCCAAGTACTGAAACTGGAAAAACAAAAGGTTTCTTCTACCTGGAACAGGAGGGAGCTTAGTAACTTCCGACATGTTGTTGTGTCTGGAGAAGAAGAAGAGTAGTTTCTTGAAGAAGAGGATGAAGAGGAAAGAGGAGACGACAAAGCCAAGGAGAATGGAGATCATGGAGGCCATGGAGGGAGTGTGATTGGTGTGTTAAGAGCAGAAAATGGTGAAGAAATGCATTGGTTTTGAAGAGAAAGGAAAGTTTGGAGTTTTTCTCTTATTGGCATTTGGGAAGTTTTTGGAAGTTTTGTTTTGGAGTTTATGGGATTTTGATTCATTTTGGATTTCAATGAGACATATGTATCCTCGTGTTACCATTTTCATTTTTCATCTTTATCTTCTTCTTATTATATCATCATTCATATACATTTGTGACACGACCGTTTCTTTCTAAACTCACCGTTTCATCTCTCAATCAAAACTTAGGTGATTTTGTTTTGGTTATTTCATGATAGAAATATCATATTTAAAACATTTATTAATTTAGTTAAACCAAGAATTATAATG